AATATTATCAATGAAAATCTTGTAATTACCCAGCAATGATCTGCTCCGTGTTTTGATTCCAATTAAAATATTTATAAACTAAAATAAAATACATATCAACCAATACAAATAAAAAATAGCATCTCTGGTTAGTTATTAACACAACACTCATGTTCTGTCATCTTGGACACTGTCAAAAAATAAATTGTTTTTCCAAAACCCCCCCCCCCCCCAATTCACATTTGTCCTACTAAAAAAAAAACCAATAGGATAAATAATTAGTGTACACATTGTTTAAACAACAAACTTCTTTTCTTAATTTTTTTTAAAAATGTCATCAAAAAACAAAAAAAAAAGACAAGAAAATGAAATGAGGAATGATGGGTAAATGTTTTAAGGATGGTGGTGGTTATCGCCTGCCACTTGTCATTACTCTAGTTAGTTTAAATAATAAAGATAAAGAAAACATCAAAGGTATTGAAAAAGGCAATGATGAAAAAGTATTTTTTCAACAAACTAATATTTAATGTTCAATTATGATTAATATTATTACAATATTCAACTCAATATATTGTTGTTTAGAATTAAAAAAAAATTTTTATATACATAATATATTTAGAAGTTGAGAAAACGAATCAGGGATTCAGAACAAGAGGTTATGGATCTAAAAAATAAATTAGTGTGTAAATCTCTTAAAAGTAAGTAATGGGTATATGTCAGAGCTTGTTAAATATACAAAAAATTATCTTTTGTTCACACCATTTGTTTATTTATTTACTCATCAATGTAATTTTTTCTCATTTTTCATGCCTATTTTCTTTTTCATTAATAACAATCATTTTCACATGGTATCATCCTTAATTTTATTCACCAAAAAAGAAATTCTTGCTTTGATTCCTCCTCCTCTTGAATATTGAGATCTCAAAAAAGGCACCACAACAACAAATTCTGCCATGGCACAACATCCAGCTAAAGTTTTTCAATGGCAAAGATTTACTCAGGATGTCTTCTCATGCAATTTTGACACAGACAATAAAGTATATGAGCAACCACATTTTATGAAATTCGAAGAAATATCAGATGAAGACTGTGCATGTGAGGCTGTTAGTATCAATGTTCTTCGACCTCTTAATTCAATTGGATGTAGATACAGTCCACAAGAAGAATATGCACAATATACTGTGTTTCCACATATTTTAGGAGAACCAGACTTTGTATGCTATCAGATAAATAGAGATGATATTAATATCTCTCAAATTCTTTAGCAATTGAAGTTAAGACAAGATGGGTCCTTACATTGAAAAATGAGCATCTTGCAGATAAATATGTAAGAAATTTAGGTGAAATTATTACAGATGAATCATCTGGAGTTACCAACAGCATTGAGCAAATATATGGTGAATAATTTACAATATGGAATTCTGACAACTTATGACCAAACATGGTTTATGAAATGACCTTCATCAGGAGATGCAAATATCCTCTACATCAGTGATGCTTTTAACCTTCCCTATAAAAAATTGGCATGAAAATGTATGGAAAACTGTATGGAATTTTACCTGGAATTTGCATTTTTCCATACAAATTCCATGCATTTTCCCATACATTTCCATGCCAAATTTTTTATAGGGCTTAGTGAACAATCTATGTTGTTACAAGCTTTTGTGTATATACAATCTCTCACCTACGAAAATCCAGCATCTCCAACTCCTCCTCCAACTCCATTGCAGTTAGAGATGGGCATTATGCAACTTTTTGAACATTAATTTGCATAATGCGCATAATGTGCATGACGATCTTTTCTATAACTGATTTATTTAAAAGTATAAATTTTATTCTTTGTAAATATAACAAATATAACCTAAATAAAA